TTCTTAGTTCTTACCATGTCATCTTCTCCAATAATAAAGTTTATTATTATAGACAAAAGGTCTTAGTTATTATTTATTATAAATATTAGCATTGTGCTGATTTTATATTTACTTTTTTTGTAATTTGGTTAAAGAAATTCATGTCATAATTTTTGTAATTAAAAACCATAATTTTAAGTGAATTTCAGATTTTGAACTTTCTTAACTAAATGTTAATGATTTTACTTAGGTTGAGAATGAAAAACTTTATTTGAAAATAATTTATTTATTTTAACCAATTTATTTCTACCTCGTATATATATACTTAATTTTTTGAAAAAAACGAGTCAAAATGTTAAATCAATTTTTATGACTTGCAAACTTGTTATGTAATTAATCGTAATTGGTAAAGTACACTAGCTAATAGTAATGGTGATATCAATATTTACAACCAAAAGACACTATTAATTATTTATTTGATATTTTAGTATTATTTCAGTAGTGTAATTGGATTAAAGTATCTCAATTAGTATAACCATGCAAATGTGGTATTTGGCGTGTGGTATTAGGCAAAAGCATAGTGATAAAAGGAGTTATTTCGAAATAACTCATTGCCCAAATAATTTCAGTAAACTGTTGCCAAACGAGTTATTTGTAAAATTGTTCGAATTATCCTAAAAATTGAACCATTAAAGATTAACTATCAAATTTAGTAAAATTATTGGGACTTCAATCATAACTTACTCAATAACATATATCCTATACACTTAGCCTTACCCTCAACCAACAATATTAAGTTAGTATATGTTGTTGATTGTATACCCTAAACCATCAATACATTATACACTAACCACATACCCTATACCCTAACCATATGTCCTCTTTTTTTTTTTTTTGACAATAGCAATCATCATTTCATTCCAAACCCACACAAGTGGGAAGCAATACAATTACAATAATGGAGCGACAAGATCGGCAATGACAATCCATTCCGAGGGAAGGAGATCCAGACGAGAGTTCCTCGCAATCCAATCTGCCAAGGTATTGAGACGACGGGGAACAAACTCAACTGAGATCCAAGGAGAGAGGCAAAGAATGGAAACAACCCGAGCAAGAGTTGCCCGGCATTGCCATGGCCACATGCTCGGATCTTGTCTCAACGCATTCGTCAACCTCTGACAATCGGATCTGACGCACGTTGGGACTGGATCCTGAGCAGCCAGGATAACTGCATTAAGAATCGCAAAAGCTTCTGCTTGTATCGGAGAAGAACAAAAGAATCTCTCAGCCCTTCCGTCGATAACCTGACCGTGGGAGTTAGCAATAGCAATCCCATATGCCGCCACCTGTGCATCAGAGACAAAGGAACCATCACAATGCACAACCTTACTGTAAGGACCAGGCGGTGATAAGGTCGTCGACCGAGATCTCCCAGGCTGAGACAGCAAACCCGCTGATCTTGAAGAAGAGGGGGAAGCTGAGGACGAGGCCATAGCTTCCTTAATGTTTCGGTACTCTCTATCAGCTAGAATTGCCACAGTGGGTGGGGAGAACACCTTCCCATCGAAAACCATTCCATTACGAGCAATCCAGATATTCCACATTGTACACACAATCTTGTTGGTTTGGTCAGGTGTCAAGCTGTCTCTGAGAGAAAAAAACCAGTCCGCAAAGCTGGTATCCTCAGCAGGGGGAACCGCCAACAAGCCGACCCTAGACCACGTCTCCCATGCCTTGTAGCAATGGAACAGACAATGCATAATCGTTTCAATATGCTCCTCACACAATGGGCACACTGGATCAGGAGCACACTTACGTTCGAACAACCTCGCTCGTGTTGCCAATGCATTCTTACCACTCTTCCAAATGAAAAACCGAAGCTTAGGGGGCAAGGAAAGATCCCAAAGCCATTTCCAATCATCCTTGTCCGGTCGGGACAAGGTATCTGCAGCAATAGCTTGAGGGGAATCTCTCACCTCCCTAAAAAGACGGTAAGCAGACTTAACACTGTATCCTCCTGATTCTGTAAACCTCCAAATCCACCGATCCTGCGACGAACAGGGGCCAATCGGAACTCTAGAAATAGCTTGGACAATCTCTTCAGGCACCAGATTCCTGATTGCATCCATATTCCAGCTGCGATTAGTTGGATCAATCCAATCACTAACGCGGGACGGATCCAACCCCAGATGAGATAAACTGAAATTTTGAATGGACGGAAGCCAAGGGTCACAGTGGAACTGAGAATCCTCCCCAGACATGATCCCCTTCAACAAACCAGCCTTCATATGCTCCTTGACCTCGCAGAAGCCATTCCAGATCCATGAGCTTTTCCTCCCTTTAACTGCCGAAAACAAATCCCCATTGGGAAAGTAGAGCCCCTTTAAAAGCTTGGCCCACAAGGCATCCGGATTATCAAAAAGTCTCCACACCTGTTTCCCAACAAGCGCAATGTTGAAAAGGTGGAAGTTCTTGAATCCCAGCCCACCTTCATCTTTAGGCTTTTCCAAAACCCTTGCGTTACACCAGTGGATACCCCTCTTCCTCATGGATCCCGACCAAAAAAAAGCGCTTCAGAATGGAGTCCATTTTGTTGGTTAAGCTAAGAGGTAGCAAGAAAACACTCATGATGTAGGTCGGCAAGGCTTGGATCACTGCCTTCAACAGTACTTCCTTGCCTCCAGGGGATAACATAAGGCTTTTCCAAGAATCACCTTGCTTTTCCATACGCTCCAGAAGAAACCCAAAAGTTTCTTTTTTGGATCTACCCCACTCAGTAGGAACTCCCAAGTACTTGTCGTGGCAAACCGAAGGCGGAAACCCAAACTTATTAGTCACCAAGGATCGGATACCATGAGGAGTATTCTTGCTAAAAAAGATGGAGGACTTTGATGCATTGGTCTCTTGCCCCGTAGTATCCCCATATATCTTAATGATATCCATAATACGCTCAGCTTCAAGGACACTAGCTTTGCCAAAGATGACAGTGTCGTCCGCAAACAAACAGTGGGAGATCCGTGGGCAGTCCTGGTTGAGCTTGATGCCTCTGATGTCGCCTCGAGAGACCCCTTTCTCAATTAAGAAGGACAAAGCATTAGACATAAGGATGAAAAGAAACGGAGAGATGGGATCACCTTGTCTAATACCCCGAGACGGAGTGAAAAGATCAGTAGGACTTCCATTGAGGAGGATTGAGAATTTGACCGTCCTGGTGCACGCTCTAATCCAGCCTCGCCACTTCTCCGAGAACCCATAAGCCTCCAGAATGTAGTCCAAGCCGTCCCAGTCCACTAAATCATATGCTTTTCGCATATCCAACTTCACCATCATGTCCCAATCCCCATAGCGACGATTCTTGAAGTTATGCAGTATCTCATGAGCAATAATAACATTATCCTGAATAAGCCTACCACCTGTGAATGCGGCCTGCATTTCAGAAACCAGTCCCGGCAACCATTTCTTCATTCGATTAGAGATAACTTTAGAAATGATTTTGTATCTGAAATTGCAACAGCTAATGGGACGGTACTGTGAGATCGTCTCTGGAGCAAGAACCTTAGGGATCAAGGCAATATGAGTATCATTCCATCCATGTGGCATAACCGAGGTTCTGAAGAAGCGCATCACTTCATTACAAAAATCCGGACCAACTTTGCTCCAGAACTTACGATAAAATGACCCAGCAAAACCATCGGGTCCAGGAGATTTTGATGGCCCAAGGTCAAAAACTGCAATTTTAATCTCTTCAATAGATGGCTCTCTGTCCAGATCCAGATTCATTTCATCGGAAACCATTTTCGGAAAGTCCTGGAGAGATTCGTAATTGAGACCATCTTTCTTTGTGAATAAAGTCTGATAAAATCCAGTGACATGAGCAGATAGAGCTTCAGGCTGGGAAATCACACTTCCATCATCATCCTTAAGGGTTGAAATCCTGTTCCTATGCCTTCGAAGTGTGGTAGAAGCGTGAAAAAATTTATTGTTCTGATCCCCCACTTTAAGCCACTCAACACCTGCTCTTTGACTCCAAAACAGTTCTTCGTCCTTCCAGATTGTCGCGAGCTCCTCCAAGAGCCCTCTTTCCTCTTCAACAATTTCCATAGATCGATCAAGCAACAGAATGTCACTCAATCTCTTTTGAATATCTTCAGCCCTTTTGTTCTGGTCTTTATACATTTGCTTAGCCCACTTAGTAAGTTCTTTTTCACACTTCTGCAACTTGTCATGACAATAACCTCCCCCATCCCAATTACGGTTCACAATTTCAAAACATTCTTCTTTTTGGAACCATCGAGTGTCAAACCGGAATGGAGTCCTTGGATTGATCCGTCTCCCCTCAAATTCCAATCGCAACGGACAATGATCCGACTCAATAGGAAGCTCATGTACAATTAACGCATTACTGTACATGGAGAACCACGATGTAGAACAAAGGCCACGATCAAGTCTCTCCTCAATTCGCCTCATACCCTCTTGATTGTTCTTCCAAGTGAAGGGGTAGCCCATAAAACCCATATCCATTAAACCATTATCAGCAACAAAAGTCTTAAAAGGTACAGTAGACACATTCCTTGGCTCATTACCGCCCCTTTTTTCTTCAGAAAACAAAACAGCATTCATGTCCCCAATAACTACCCATTTATCGTCGACACTAGTCCTAAGGTTGGAGATCTGATCCCAAAAATCCCTACGCCGAGTTGGATCAGACGGAGCATGAACAAAAGTGATAAAGAAGCCCCCATTAACATCAACAAAAGCATCAATATAAAAACAGCTACTGTCAAGGATAGTGATAGGTAATCCTGTCACCCACCAAAGAGCTAGACCTCCTGCAGTATTGATAGGATTAACATGGAACTCTTCTGCAAATCTCATACTTCTTCTCTTAGCCTTCATATAAGATTCCTCCTTCTTAGTCTCAGACAGAAAAAGGAAAGATGGATGGTGTTTTCTCACCAATTTCCTCAGTTGACGAACTGTTGGGGTCTGCCCAAATCCCCTACAGTTCCACACAAGAGCATTCATGGAGCCTCTGGTGGCTTGGAATCGGCCACCATAACCACAGCAAGATTTGGTTCAAAACCAGGCGGGAAAACAACATCTTCGCCTCCATCATTCTTTCCTTCTGAAGTTCCTCGAATGGCTAGGGAAAACTCTGCTTCATGTTCCTGAACTCCTTCATTGAGAAGACCAGCTGTCTTCCTTTTCTTTTTCTGGGTTCCTGGGCTCATTCCTTCATTTTTGCCTCGTCTTTGTGATTGGTAGCGACCAGGGAGGTGGGCTCGATTTGGGCTGGGGTTGAAGTAATTGTGATTAAAGGTGTAGTGGTTCTGGGCTTGTAGTGGAATTGGGCTTGGGCTGGGAAACCCGAAGCCTGCAGAAGGGAATGGGTAGGTTGTATTTGGTTGGTACGGTAGGGCTGACAGAGGTGATTGTGGGTAGCCGAACAGATTCCTGGCCACAGAATCTCCTTGGGGTGGGGAAGCAAACACCGAGAGGTTAAAGGGGAGGGATGGGTAGCTTTGGGGAGATGGTGAGATAGGGTTTTGATTAGTGAACACACCTGCTGGCGGAGAAAGGGGGAAGTTCTGGGCAAAGCTGGACAGGGGAGATTGATTTGCAGCAGTCATCAATCCCACAGTATGTGGGACCATATGGCTGGTCTGTTGGGTTGCTCCGGTCATAGGGGTTGCCGGCGATTGGACCTGGCCGCCGCCTGGAGACTCCGAAGATGACGCTGCATCCCTGATCAAGGCCGCGTCGACCTCCAGTTGTTGGTTCGTCCGAGGCGAGAAGAGGGGTGAGTTTGCCCTCGTCCATGGTCCCCATCTCTGGACCTCTGGCAGCGGAACCCCATTCTCCTCATCAGCTCGCCTTCGATCACACTCCAATCTGGTATGCTCTAATCCCCCACAGTAATAGCACAAAGAGAACAGCTTCTCATACTTGAAATCAATCCAAACCCTTTTCTGTTGCTGGCGGATGTAGAAACCATCAGGGATTGGTTTCGAGGTGTCCACCTGAACAAAAACCCTCACGTACTTCCTGTAAATTTGTGATTGCAGGGCTGCACGATCAATGTCGATCACTTGGTGGAACATTCTGCTCACCATTGCGATGTTGCTCTCCGTTCGATAGGCTTCCGGGAGGTTGTGAATTTGAACCCAGAAATCGACCATCCTGAAGCTGGTCTCCCTCGCTGTCTCAAGGCCAGACAGTTTCTTAACTTGCATAAGAGTACCAGATATGGGGCAGGGACGTTCTAGCCATATTGCCTCCATCTCTTCCTTCTTCTCAAAATCAAGAGTGAAAATATTCTCATAGACAGGTTGGATGTTAGGCATCTCTTGGACTTTTGGCTTAGGGTTGTCCACCCAAGCTGCTCTTATCATGCCTCTAACAGCCCTTAGGCTAACACTTCGCTCCGAGAAAACCTTGACAACCAGAGAGAAGCGGTTGTTCAGTCTCTCTTCATCCGGTACCATATCGAGATCCCATTCTCCTGCCTGATTGATCAAATCGTGAACACTCATATTTTTTGTAATTTCCCTCACAGGTTTAGCTCGCTCTCGACAGAGGGGGGTTTCAGTTTGCTCACAACAGAGGAGAAAGCTGGGAGAAGATGCACTTCTGATAGAGAATAGGGTATGCCACTTTATACTTCTCACTTCGTTTCCTTCTCCTTCGCCTTCTTCATTTAATGTAGTTGTTGGCTTGAATGGACTGGGATTTATGGATGTCCTCGAAATCTTAGATTTCTTAGCTGTTTCAACAGCTCTGACCGGCTCAAAGCACCACTCCCTCCTTATTAATGGTGGCTTGAAAAGACTAGTATCTGCATTTGGTAGAATTGTTCCTTTGAACTCGTAATAGCAATAACTCCCATCCACCTTGTAGCTATAGTAGTAAATGAGCCTTAACTCCATCTTTTGCTGCTGTTTCGTCAGTTCCATCCGCACCCAGCTGGCTTCAATTAAGCCGGACTCCCCTGATACACTTTTAATCAGAAAAAGGAAACTTCTCACATTGGAGGCAGCCTGAACCATCTTCCTTGTCAACATTATGACCAAGAAGGAGGGCAAATCATCTCACTGTAGGAGGAAGATCAGCATCCAGATCGGCTCTGGGAAGCTCAACGGATAGAAATGGCCTGTTCAAACAGGAGAGAGGGCAGAGCAAAGAAAGAAGAGAGAGAACCCAGGGGGGGAAAAATTAAGAATCATAACCATATGTCCTCATGAGTTGTGATTTTGCTAGTATAGTTAATTTAAAACTGAAATTCATACTTTGATTTTCAAAACATAGATAAAAAATGATATTTGCTAATTGTTATACCCTAATCATATATATTATACTCTACATCATATACCTTGTACCCTAACCACGTACCACAAACATAAATTAAAAAGGGATCTCCTGCCGTTAAAGACATCAAATGACTTCAAGTGAACATATGTTAATAAAAAACTTAGAACCGTCAAAACCATCAATATCTTATACCCTAACCATATACTGCCTAAACCATCTGTACCTTATACCATTTACCCTAACCAATATACTTTATACCCTAAACAACGAACCGTCAAAGTTACTTATCAAGTTTAGTATAATTGTTGTAACTAATAGTTAATTTATTTATTAGCCCATAAACAATTACATATATATATATTAGCCTTCAAAGCATATAAGAATAAATTTAACTAGTCATGCCCTCCATATAAAAATTAAAGATTCATATTTCAAGGCTAAAATTTTGAAAAATCAAAAAGTTGAAAACCCCAAATTTGTTTCATTCTTTCTTTTCAAAGAAAAGAAAAACTAAAATTTCTCTCCTTTTTTCTCCTTCAATAAATTACAAACACTCAATTTCCCTCCTCTTTTTCTTCCATAAAATTGAAAGAACCAAATTTCCCTCTTCCTTCCTTCTACAAAAAGTTGAAATCTCAAAATTTCCCTCCTTATTTCTCTTTCATGATCAAAAGAACAAAACTTTCTCACTTTTTTCTATTCCCACAAATCAAAACTACCAAAATTTCTACTTGTTTCTTTTCTAAAAAATTCAAAGAACTAAGTTTCCCTTTTCTTTCTCTTCCCAAAAAATTGAATACACCAAAATTTTCCTCTTCTTTTAAAGACATCAAATTTACCAAATACATTACTTTATTTTATTTATATTTAATTAATAATTTTATTGAATAGTTGAATTAACCAAAATTTTAATTTATATATTATATTAATATTATCCATGATCTCAATTATTAATTCTTTATTATTAATATTGAAATTATGTTGATTTTATATTTACGTTTTTAATTTTGTTAAAAAACTTAGTGTTCAAGTGACCTTCATGTTTCAATTTTTATAATTTTCTTAAAATACATAATATCAAGTGAGTTTCATATTTTTTAAATTCCCTATACGGAATGAAAAAATAATTTTACCTAAATTTAGAATGAAAAACTTTATTTTGAAAAACTATGTATTGTATATTATAATAATTATTTAAATGGACTAAGTGAGGTTCGAGTTGAGTCGGTCGGGTTACGGGTTAGTCGGGTTGTGGGTCAATCAGGTTCGGGTTAATCGGGTTGCGGGTCAGTCAGGTTGTGGGTTAGTCAGGTTGCGGGTCAATCAGGTTGCGGGTCGGGCGGGTTACGGGTTGTTGACTTTTAGTCAATTCGAGTTGCGGTCGGGTTGCGGGTCGGGTTGATCGGACGGGTTAATCGGGTTGGGCTATGTTTTGACACCTATAGTGGTGGTTGTGGTGGCCGTGGTGAAGCTGCGACGAAAACGAAGGAGAAATCATCGCAGCCCATGCGGCGGCGGCGGCGGCGATAGTATCTGCGATAAAAATTGCAGCGATTGAAGCGGGGAGAAGAGGTGAATCCGATCGCTGCTCTACAAGATGAATCCAATCGCTTCCAGATCGGGGAAGGAGAAGAGATTACCGGCGATATCTCATCCGTTTCATTCCCAAGGAATTGAAGTAGCCGAGCTTCAGAACCGCTTCCTCTGGATAGTGGAGTAGTGGAGTAACAGTTCGCTTCTTCTTCTCAGCTACCAAATCAGAGATTGGCGAAGAATCAAGACTTCGTGAATATTTGGCGACGCAGATGGAGAAAAGGAAGAGAAAGATATTTGGCAGTCTGGCGTAGAATCACGATTTGGTGCTTCGGAAGAGGAGAATTTGGACTCCGAATCGTAATAGCTAAGAAGGATGGAGACTCCGAATCGTAAGAGCTAAGAAGGATGGACAGGGAGAGAGAGAGAGAGATAGCAGGGGAAAGTAAAGGATAATTGTTTTTCTTTTTCTTCTTAAAATATATTAAAGCAGATTGAAAATACGACCCCTCCACGTAAGCCTCCAACTCCAAGGCCTCTCCGCACTTCTCGGTTTTCTTAGGATTTTAATATTTTTTAAAAAAATTCCCCTTAAACCGTTTCCTTCGCCGATGAATTTTTTTCCTCCCACTATTTTTTCTCTCTCTAGCCTGCGCCACTTCAAACTTATCCCTTCATCTTTTTTCCTATGTTAATTTTTATATTTAGTTATCCCTATTTATAATATATATTAATTACTTGCCCCCTAAAAAAATTATGAACCAAGTTAAAAGTTTTGTGTATATATATTACTAGCTTGTAACCCGACCCGTTGGTCGGAGGAGCTGAGCCGAATATTGAATTATTGGGATAACCCGTAGATTCAACCATTAAGCTAAATTGGTCTAATGGTGAGTACCGCCTAGCATATCCCTAATAATCATACCAAAGTGAATATATTGGAACATAAACAGTACATCAAAAGTTGGTACAACCATGAAGTTAGACCATTAAAAACATACCAATGAAATTGAATAGCATCGAAAAACTTCAACTTCATTATATAATTACATGAGATCAGAAAGAGAACACCATTAATTTGATTTATAAAACTTTCATCTTGTCGTCATTGTGCTTTCTGGTTTTTGTCAGGCCATGATAAAATCTAAGGAAATCAAGAACGAACAACACGATTTGGGATAGGAACCGCCGTTGTCGTATTCCTAGAGAATGGTGGTAAACACGGACTCACCTGCCAAACTGGTTTGGATTGAGATTTTTATCGGGTATCAGGGAACCATGTGATTACAAATTAGACTTGATCAAAACGGGCCAAAACTTAAAATTCAGCCTGTTTGACCGACCCATGCAAAATTCTAATTATTCGTTACTTTTAAACTTTCTATTTGAAAATAAAAAATAGTGAAAGAAAATAGATGACTGCAATTCGCCATTTGCACATCACTTATTCGGGAATAAAACCATAGAAATTCAAAAGAAACTGAAAATGTTTAGGATCGTTTTAATGTTTAAAATAACCAAATAGATCTTTCTGTTTAGTTTTTTACTAACAAATACCAAACGATTCCCTATAAAATACACTATAATTTTATCATTATGATATCAAATAATTATATAATATATATTTGAAATGATAAAAATTGGACTAATTGGGTTGGTCGAGATTGAACCATTGAATAACTTTAAACTACATTATATTTTAGCCACTAAAATATAAAATAATATAATAATATATATTATGCTAGAGAAAATAGCTTGTTTTAGAATGTCAAACCAATGATGTTCATTTGTTTTACTTGATGGCCAAATCCGGTGTAGGTCAGGCCCATTCAACTCTTTTATTTTATGGTTAGCGGTTAGCCCTTTAGATACCATGCATTAGTTTATTGTTAAAATTTTTTTATTTATATCATAAAAAGAAGTATTGTTTTTGCCTTTTCATATATATTTTATCACCACGAAGAAATACAAGGGGTTAAAGAAAAAAATTGACACTCCTGAACCCGTTTAAATCCGCATGTGTACGGTAAGTTGGCCCGTTCCACAGAGGAAAGAGAAAAAAATTAACACTACCTATTCTACCCTTCCTACAAACGCTCATGGAGCAGAGAATTTGAAATGGGGGAAGGGGTTTTTCCTCCCTGCTATTATATGTTTTTGATTTAAAAGGATGCAACAAATGTACTTAGTGTGATTGGTTATGTTCCTTGCTTTTCTTTAAAATGGACATGGTTCGAATCCCAGTACGTGTCTTTTTAATGAATAAAAAAAAGTAATTGTGAAGACCAAAATGTCCTTCCTACTTTCACTCTCGTTGCAGGAAATTTGAAATGGGGCTCCCGTTTTCCCCTTCGATGTATTATATTATGTGTAGATTTATCCTACTTTGCTTTTGAGGTAAATTATTGTTTAAATTCGAACAAAATTGTGTACTTTGAATAAAACTTAATTTTTTTTGTTTAAAATTACAGATGGACCTTTTTAACGTTCTTTAAATGTGTCACTTTGAATAAAATATAAAAATTGTTTCACTATTATTTGACAAGATGAATGTATTCTTCATAATAAATGGACATTCCATATAGTATATATATATATATATACAATTCAATAATTAGATTTTGAGAACCAATATTGATTCATATGTCATCTATAAGATGATAAATGTGACTGCTTTAATTGACAAATCTGAAAATAAATATATAAAATGTGACTTTCTAAAACCTCTTTGGAGGACATGAGTAAAAGTTGGAGAGGATTGAACTATTATGTGTGTGAATGATATATATTGACATAACTTCTTTTGGTTACAATATTAACATATTTATCACGCGTATGTGATAAACTTAGCCACATTCCAATAGTCATTGATTAGAAATGGAATGCATAACTTAGAAGTGTGCAGGGTTTAAATGAAAACTAAAAATCATTAATTGAATGTGGACTACTTAGTTGAGATATAAACAATGACTGACTTACTTGCATTCTCATTAACTTATATTGCGAGATCACAAATGATAAGATAAGACCCGAAACTCACCCGGCCAACTGGCCGGGTACAAAGCTAGTTCATTAATAGACTTATTTGTTTTCAATAAAAGCATCAAATTTT